GCCTTTGATAACGTTTTCTGTAACATTCCAGCTCGATCTCACTATAGTGTAGAGAGGAGAGAAATGTTCGTTCCTACACTTGGGATTGTGAGGTAAAGGAGGGAGCACCCTGAGCTCCAGGCTGCCTCTTCTCCGGAGGCCTGAGTGGTCCAGGGCACTGTGACATCCAGCTTCCCTTTCACCCCAGCAGTTTTCCCCATCACAAACCATGGAGGAGCAGAGTTTTACTTTGCTAAGAAAGATGACTATTTCTTGATTGTTGGCAGTGGTAAGGCCGTGACTCAGGCCGTGACTCTTGAGCACAATGTTTATTGAGTCTGCAGAAGCTCAATCCACCCCTTTGTGTACTGAGGTCCCAAAAGCTCTCTGCACCCTGATGAGGCTCATCTTCAGAACCTGGGATGAGGGCTGGGTCTACCACGGAAGGACCCTGGGCTGCTGCCAGGCAGGGATGTAGTTGGCAGGGGGCGTGGAATCAACCTCCCATCCTCTCCCTGGCTCCCCAAGTTCGGCATGGACTGGCAGCCTGCCCTTCTCTGAGTTCTAGTCTGTGCTCTCTGCCTGCACTGAGGGGTCTCAGAAAAGTCCTTCTCTTACCTCCCTGCCAGCAATGTACCCCAGATGCCTGTACCAGCCCAGCCGGGCTGGCCTCGAGTGTCAAGGGCCGGGAGATGACCTCTCAGCACTGAACTCTTCTCGGGGGAATTCATCACAAGCCAGCATCCAATTAGGGAGAACAGGCTGGATGAGACAATGGTCCACACCCCTTGTTAAGTAACATCCCTAATTGATGACAGGGATGGTGTAGCAGCTTGGAAGCCAGCTCAGATTGTGTTTTTAAAATTCTCCTTTCTCCCGGGCTGCCTGCCAGAACTCCATGGCATGGCTCTTCAGGAGAACAAAGGAGGCTTTGAAAATCTTTCTCCCCCCTCCTTCAAATGCTTATCTGAAAGGACATCTTTTTCCCCTTAGTTGCCGCAATCATAAAAGCACAGGTGATAAACTGCTTCTTTATAATCATCAATTGTGAAGGTTTCCTCCCCCCAAAAAGCAGGAATTGCAGCAGCAGCAAGAGGAAGAGGACCATCTCGGCGCCCACACTGATGCCTATCAAGCCTCCAGAAAGGAGAGGGAGGGGGAAATGAACTTTGTTCAGTGACAACTTTTATCTCCAGGTCTTGGGCTGTTGAAATGCCAAGCGAGGGCTGAGATAGGGTTTCCTGACAGCGGCTGTGCAGCTGCCCAGCTCCGGGGGATAGAGAGCTGGCGGCGGGTGGGAGGAGGGCCTGGAAGTGAACAGAACACATCTTGAATTCCTGAAGCTAGAGTTGAGCCTTGGTAGGACTGTGTTCCCAGGGAGGAAAGCTGCAGGGACGGGACATCGGATCCCGTGTTTGCAATGACCTTGAGAAATGATCTCTAAAAGGACAGTTCCTAAGCCATCTGAGAGGAGAATCTGTCTGGTTTTTAAGCTTCCCAGAAACGTGATTGTAGAAGTGAGGGGCCATTAGGCCTGAGGTTTGGGATGGATTCTAGACACCTGGGTCCCCAGGTCAGCCCCTGCTCTGGCTCCTCCGCTTAGTTCACAGCTCATCTGACTTTCAGTCTCTGCCCTGTGATGTGCGGGCCACCCTGGGCAGTGTGGAGGGGAGCCCCCTGCTTGGATCATTTACAGCTAAGACAGTGCCACAAGCTCAGCTTAATTCAGTTAACATTTCAGATTTTTCAGATGACATCTGAGCTGGCCATTTTCTTTTTAAAAAATTCACAAAGCACCTACTAAGTGGTAGATACTGATCTAACGTGCATTATGCACATTGTATCCTCATAATAATCCTGTGAAACAGAGGAGGAAATTGAAGTGCAGAGAAGTTAATTGATTTACCTAAGATCACACAGTAATTGGCAGAATCTGAATTCAAGCCCAGGAACCATGGGTCAAAAGCTTGTATCCATTGAACAACTACTTTATGCTGGTTTTCACGCAGCTATGTTGGGCATTGAAGGATGAATAGGAGTTTGCGAGGTAGACAATGAGAAGGAGAGAATATTTGGTGGGAGTCAAGGCAGAAAGATTAAACAAGGTTGGAAATAAAAGAAAAGGGGACTGATGTCTGTTGAGTGCCTATCTTGTGCTGGGCACTGTGGAGAGCATTTCACACATTTTTTTACCTAAATGTATTTTCAGATTAACCTTGTCGAGTAGATTTCACTCTCCTTTAACAGGTGAGGAAACTGAAGCTCAGAGAGGTTATATCAATTGCTCAAAGTCGCATGGCTCCTGAGTGGTCACCTTCCACATTGAATTGACCTGAGCCAATCAAGACTCCTTTAGAGAAGACCTGGACCTTGTTATTTCCTGAATGTTCCCACATCACTTGTACTTCCTTGTTTAGAACATGACTTGCCTTTGTAATTAATGTTCAGTATTTACAGTGGTCTGTAAACTCCTTGAGGACAGGGTTACTGTCTGTGTTAATGGCCAGTGTTTCTCCAATACCCAGCATTACGCTGAGTACACTGTAGGCTTGTAAATATCTACCGAATTAATGAATGGAAAATGCCGATTGTGTTGTAAACAGATGCCCAGTTCCTTATTTTCCCCCTTACCTAATACATGCTTTGCTCAGCAGTGTCCCGGGTCTCATCTCACTGGCTGATCTTCCCATCTTCCTGGGTGAGGCCACCAAATGAGGACACAATGGTCACATCCAGATGGTCAGAGGTGCTCTGACTGAGAGAATAGCTATGGTCAGGGTGACTCATGTCTCCATTTGCTAGGGACAGTCCAGGTTGGCACCTGCTGTCCCATTGAATAATTGACTAATTAATACTGTTCCCTTTCACTCTTAAAAGGGCCCCGATTGGCATGATAAATTCTACAGTGATCCTAGGCCAGTGACTGCCCACCAAGAAGCTTGTGTTCTTTCCAGCACTGACAGAAGTCCGCCGGGAAGGGCAGAACCAGAGTGGAGCTGAGGGGTAGGAGCACATGGAAAATTCCAGCAGTGTCCCTTTCCTCTTCCCCAAAGTCCCCACCTTCTCCTCCAAGGCTGGTCCTCCTTGGGGTGGGGATAATAACCGCCCTCTGGTGGAGGGCAGGTGTCTTAGAAGATCTGATCCCTGGCCAGCTGTGACTTTGTGATCTGGGGTTCAAGTTCTCTATCTGAATCTGAAGAGGCTTGTCACCTGTGCTCTGTGCAACCTCTGTCCCGAGAGGAGGTACTGACGGAGGATGTGAATCAGATGCCTGGACAGTCAGGAGGTGGGAGCCTGCAGGGAGCTCAGGACTGAGGCTCATCATTGGCAGGGCCCCACAGAGTTGAGAGAATGTGCCCAGGTACCCCACCTCCACACCCACAGATCTCGAATTCGGGGCCACTGGGTGGCCAGGCTGAGTAGAGGAGTGGCTCTGAGGGGTGACTACAGGGGCTGGGGAGGGGGTGAGAAGTCACTGGCTGCAAGGTCTCCAACCAGCAACAATTTATTAGCCAATCAATGCACATCTATTTATTAAGCTTTTACTAAGTGCACAGGGGGCCGAGCTCTGGACTGAAGGTCCCCGTCAGAGAGTGCTGTGTCAGGGCTTCACTCTTCATTTGCCTCCAGCCCCATCTCCTGCCTGTGCTCATGTGGGGGACCTGCGTCCTGAGGTTGGAGCTAACTGCAGGGAGGGCTGGTCCAGGAGCCTGAGGGCAGGAAGGTAGGCTTCAAAGCCCACCAAGGGTTGAGGGACATGAGTTGGGAGCTAACTCCTCCTCTGGGCACCTGGCTCTCCCTGGGCCAGGTATCTCTCCCCAGGAACAAGATATAGACTATGGACAACTCTCTCACACCCCTCTGCCACGCTCCTCTCCTTCTCCCCATGGCCTGTCTTCTGAGGGGGCTCGGCTAGCTCCCCCTTGCCCTCTGGGCATCCTTTCTGACATCTCAATCCCCTAAAAGCTCTGGGAAAGGCTGATTCAATTTGCCTGAGTGACACTCTTGTCTGCCATTTGACTACTTCCTTCCTTCCAGCATTTCCAGACCTCAGGGGTGGACCACTGGGGTGCAGGAATGTCCGTGCAGGGTCTGGTTTGGGAAAAGATGAGGAAGGCAGGAGGTGTTGGTGATGGGGGTCCACAGAGCTTGGAGAAACCTTGAAAACTGCTTGGAGTCCTCGGGGAAGTGTCGGCTCACTTTCTCTGAAGCCGGCTCTGGAGCTGGGAGGAGATTCTGGCTGAAGTTCCAGGCACAAGACACAGGTGCTGTTTCTCTTGGATGCTGTCTGGCCCTCGTTCCTATGAGCGGTTTCCCACCTCGCAGGCTTCAGAAGGGAATTTCTGCTCCCGGGGCGAGATGGTGAGCTGAAGCAGGGAGCAGGGGGTCTCAGGGCCCTGAGTTCAGGCTCGGCTCTGGTCTCGGTCAGGCCCCCTCATGTGTGAAACGGGGAAAGTGAGGATACCAGGGTCCCTCCCTTCTCTGGGCTTCTGCGGTGCTGTGAATTCTAGATCTGGGGTGTGTCTTCCTCATTTAGCTTATGGAAACCAGAGAAAAGCAGTCTCACAGGCAGATGCTGTGTGGGGAGCACCCGGCACATGGCCAGGTGGTGCTGGAGTGGCCCTAGTGGGGCAGGGACCTGGCTTTGGGGAGCTCAGGCAGCTCCTAAATAGGATGGAATCCCCAAGAGAAGGGAGGTCACTCTGGACGTCTCTGGCGGGCTGAGAGATTAACTGCTATTCTCTTAATCAAACTGTGATGCCTCTTTTCAAAAGTACGAGAGGCTCATTTGCATGTCATTTGCATCTCATTTAAACACCAGCTCATTTATTGTTCAGGAACTACTGAGATTTCTTCCAAGCCCCTTCTTCTTGCTCTCCCCAGGTTGTTTCTCTTCCTCTGCTTCCTGCATCCTGCCACTGGTCCAGCCGGACCGGCTGGCCGGCTTGCGCGCAGCCTCATTGGGCCCAGCCTGGCCCAAGGAGCCCGCCCATTGGCTGTGGGAGCGAGAGGAGCCAATGGGGAAAGGGCAGTAGACAGGTCTCCAGCTGCAGCTGGGAAGGGTTGGCCGCCCCCTTCCCCTCCTGGCCCTGACCCTTCCCAAGCCTCTGGCTGTCCAGAGCGTCTCTCAAACGTCTCTCGGGCTGCTGGCGGTAAGAGAGAGTGGGAGTGGGGAGCAGTCCTAACATTAATTGAAAATGGGTTTGCTATTCCCCAGGGAGGAAGAGAAAACAGCTAAAGAATTGATAGTTTTGTTTTGTTTTGCCACCTTCGGGCTCCTGGGAGGTCTGCTGGGGAAGTCCTGTGTGGGAGCTGGGTGGAGGGCTTCTCTCCCAGAGGACCCAAAGGCTGTAGGTTCAGCGTTGTATTAATGCAGGAGGGAAGCTCCCCTGCCTCTCCCTGCCTCGTTCCTCATCTGTGGCTGGGCTCGAACCCAGCTCCATGGCAGATAAGCCTGCAAGGCAGGGCCTTAGAAACGGCTAGAGGAGGGGCTGAGTGGCTGGCCTAATGCCTTGCCTTGTCAGAAGCCAAACTAGAACCAGAACCTGCCTCTCCTGACTCCCACCACAAGGCTTTCAGAAAACCTCTGCGTCTCCATGAACTTAGAGACCTGATTCCAAGTCTGAGTTCTTGCATGGTCACCTCGCCTCTCCTAAGTAGGGCGGGAGCTCATTATGGAGAGATGACATCAGTGACCCAGGCTGCCCTTCCCCCAGCCAGAGAGGGAGCCCGCTGTCCCTTTACTCCTTTGCTGCCCTCCTGACGTCACCTAACTCCTGTCATTGTGTCCTGTCTCTCCTCCAGAGCCCAGTGTAGCTCTCATCTCTTCCCTGCAGCCTCCACCCAGGCCTGGGTCCTCTCTGACATTTTGGCCCTTCAAGGTACACTTTCTAAAATACTCTATATTGTTCATCAGGGGCTGCAAGATCAGTGAGCTTTATTATCCCCTCGCCCTGAGTGTAAGCTCATGGAGAGCAACGTTTTACAGCCTCCTCTCTTTCAGTCTGTCTGTCTGCCTGCCTGCCTGCC